ATGGCAATAAAACAAGAGGGTGATGCTTAGGAATTTAGTTTAACATAAATGTTTGGTTAATATCACTTGAGGCACTTAATAGCATGTGATGCGATTATGTTAATAAACTTAATAATAATCAGACTGGAAAATTATGAATTATGTGAGCTGGTAGCATTTCCAAAGGCTGCATATACTCCTACACATGCCACGTCCTGATAGCAAACTTAGGAAGGAGGGTGAAGGAAAGAGATAGAGACCACATTCTCTATTTCTTTAAATTTCTAATAACTCTTGGCTAAAATTATCTTCTAACTTCCTGGGAGGAAAGCCATGCAAATAACATTCCTATTTTGTTTTCTTGAGACTTTCTTTGCCCTTGAATTCTGTGAAACTACTGCCTCTTAGCTTTCCTCCTACCTCTGACTATTCCTTCCCCTCCTGCCTTTTAAGGATTTCTGTCCTTCTGTGACCATTTCTCATCCCTATTTTTACTTCTTATGTAATTTTTGGTCCCAAAGCTCTGACTGTGATTTAAATGTCAGCTACCTGAGTCCAGGCTCTCTTGAGTCCTACATCACAGGTGCCACAAAGTGGCATGGCCAGAACTGAAATCATCGTTCCCCACAAACCTGCCCTTCTCCCCTTTTAGTGAAGCACTAGGACCACCCAGTGACCTCCACTTGGCTCACTCTCTGTGCGCCCTTCTCCCTACTTTCAACAGGACCCTCAGTAGTGAACATACCTCTTGCATCTTTCCATCCTCTGGATCCCTGCTACTGCTGCTTTGGCTGATGGCCCAATCCTGCCCTTCTTTTGGAAAAGCAAATCTGAATATATTTTTTGCTCGCTTAAGTTCCTACAGGATAAAACCTAACTCCTTGTTATGGCCTGAAGGCTTTCGATGATCTAGCTCCTGACCACCTTCCTAGATTCCCCAAATGTCTGTTAAATGAACATTAGTTCCAAGGGTGGTTAAAAGCATTATGTGTATGTGTGTGTGTGTGGGGGGGAGAGTTATGTAATCTAATTAGTTTGAGAAACACTGGTTTAAAAACATGCAAGTGGATTCTTTATTATAGGACTTTAATTACTCTCATGGTGATTGTGAATCTCCATGGGAAAAATACAGTGTGCAGTATTTCCCAATCCTGTTTGGTCACAGAATGCCCTCTCCCCTGAAGTCGCTCACAACACCATCCTCTGGTAAACACGACAGTCTAAACTACGTGTCAACTGTAGACCCTGCCATGCTCAGGCCCTCCTAGGCTTAGAACGGACTCCCCGGGTTCATAGATGCCATCACTGCAGTGTTTCAGCGCAACCCCTTCATGCCTGAGGCCTACAGGAGGCATCATACAACTGTGAACAGAATCAGGTGGCACCAGGTGACTTGGTATTTTAAAGAAATTTTGCTGGAGTTTGTCTGTGACATGTTTGGGGTGATATGACTTAGTCACCCCTACTAGAATTTGAGACTTGTTAAGACTTCACCTGCTTATGCTCCCTAACACTGCCATGTACAGAGACTCAAGAACTTATCACACCCGGCCCGGCGTGGCTCAGCTGTTGAGCGTCGACCTAGGATCCAGGCGATCGGGGTTCGATTCCCGGTCAGGGCACATGCCCGGGTTGTGGGCTCGATCAATGAATCTCTCATCATTGATGTTTCTGTCTCTCTCTCCCTCTCTTTTCCTCTGTCTGAAATCAATAAAGATATGTTTAAAAAAAAAGAAGAACTTATCACACAGAATATCCCAGGCTGATACATGATGGTGCCATTTGCTAATAATGTATCCTTGACACGTCAGAATATTCTGTAATTTCCTTAAAATTTATGTGTCAGAGGGGACTTTATTCCATTGCCTCCACCTTAACCTATGCCACCTTCACCTTCAAACACACTCACACACACTATTTCCAAGTCATGTCAAATTGCTTACGTAGTTCTCACAATATACAATGGAACGACAAGCTTCTGGGTCTTTACTCAAGCTGTTCCTTCTACCTGGAGCAACTTTCCCCTCTTGTCTACACTCTCTTGAATTGCATCTGAAACATCTCTTTCGATATGGAACATTTTCTGATCAAAATTTCCAAGTACTGCATTTGTTTTGTGTACTCACAAAATATCACATGAAACACTACAGCAACATTATAGATTTGAATGTATTAAAAAATTAATAAATCAAAAACTGGTAACAGTTGTCTAGCTGGATAGTAGCATAATATAACAAAACATAGAAACCTAGTAATATACTTAAGTAGTCATGAAAACAACTCAGTGAGAGAGAGATTACTTGAACCGAGGAAAGGCCTGGTATGTTTCTGAGTGAGAAGACATTACAGAAAAATGCCAATTTCTCACAAGTTAATCTATAGAATTAAATGCAATCATAGCATATCTGTTTTTAGAAAATGACAAACGATCCAAAAATCACCAGAAAGAACAAATGTAAGAGAATAGAGGGGAAAATCCTAAAAAAAATTATAATGAGGGGATTCCTGACTCACCAAATAGTATAATAGGAGATTAAATACAAGGTGGCCTTGATAACATAGATCAATGAAGCAGAAAAAAGATTCCAGAAACACAACCTATCCAAATATATTAATAATCTGATATTTGATCAAGCTAGAACAAATTTTCTGGAAAGTCATTTGGCAACGTTTACTAAGTGTTTTAAAACAGCATACACCTACCCTTAGAAATTCTAGGAATCTATGCTCTGGAACTAAGCACATGTACTTGTGAAAATTTTATTAAAAGGTGTCCCTCATATCTTTATTATCAAGATAAATGTGGAAGCAACCTAAAATTTCCACAATACAGAAATACAATTAATAGAACAATAATCTGTTATGTAATTAAAAAGAAAACATGATTTAAAGATACAAAAATATGTACATATGCAAAATAAAAAAAAAAACTAAGGCAGGAGACTATAATGTCAAAATTTCAGTTTAAAAAAAGAAAAAAGAATAGAAGAAAAAGATCCGATAGAAATACACCAAAATATCTGCAGTTGTTACCACTAGGATTTTTTTCCTTTGTTTTCTAGAAGTTTTATAATGTGCCATCTGAATCTACATCATTTAAGTAAGTGTTCCATATCTTTCCAGGCCTTAGAGAGAGGGCTTCCCGGGTGTGGCATGAGATACCATATTCCAGTTCTCGCATCGCTCCGTTCCTTTCATGTAGCTCGTGCTTCTGTGTTTAGTTTCAGGCAAGAAACTGCAACCTTTAGTGAGTCTAGGTGAAGCATGCATTGAACTTACCGTCCTCTGTGTTTTAATAACATGTATAAGGTGACACCAATGAAGAAAAACAGCACTAGAGAACCTACAAAAAGGCCTGGAAGACAAAACAGCAAGGATCAAATGCCAGAAAAATGGGACCTGCCTAGTTTTGAAGTGATGCTGGGGCCTCTTCCCAGTGGTGGGGCACATGGCATGTTAGTTTGATTCTTGTCACCCTTTCTGAGCCATATAAATATAGAATTCCTAACTAATCATGCTTGGGCTTAAGGTTTTTCTGATTCAGTCTAGTCCCCATTGAATCTAAAGCACCAAGCACTTGACCACAGGGTTCCAGTCAAGTTCTGTTGGGCTTTTCTGTTCTTTCCAGCTTTTATTAGTAATATTCTCGCCGCTGGGGTAGAATTAGGCGCTTGGGACACCAGGATCCCAGGACTTTACCTAACAACATTTAACTCTCAGTTGTGAAATATATTTTTCTACTACAGAATAAGCCAGCCTATATGGATAGTGCCAAATCATGCAAAAGACCAAGAGTTAATGTAAACTAAACTTTCAACTTAAAAACTGGACGTAGCTGGCTGTTCTAATTATTGATTGAACTCTATCCAAAAGTGAGAGTTTGTAATGTGAAGGGCACATTAGAAGTTTCGTAAACACCAAAAAAGATAACTTCTTATGAGTTAAAGAGAAAAAAATTAGTAACACTCAGGCAGGATATAAGACCTCAAATTTGATATACATTTCTATAAAATATTTGATCAAATTTGTGAAAACTAACAGTTATACTACCCTCTGGAGTATTTAGGTGTAAAGGCTATGATGTCTCAAATTGTTCAGCAATGATAAGAATGTTTTGGATATACATAGGTTGATAAATATAAATGGATAAAGCGAAAGTAGCAAAATGTAAACAACTGGTGAATAATTAAAGAATATATGTGAGCTTTTATTACACTATTTTTGTAACTTTTTTCTAAGTTTGAAATTACTTCAAAATATAAAGTTAAAAATCAAATAATGATCTAAAACTGTTCAAAGATAAAAAAGTTTATTTTAAAAAAATCATTAGAACATTTTTAAGTATTTAAGAAAACTTACCACCAAAAAGCGGAACAAGTGAGCCTAAGGAGAATCCAAAATCATGAACACGTTAGTCTAGTTGCATGATTCAATGAAGTCCAAAGTCCCATGGCAATGTCCCAGAAGTTAGCGCTTTCCCTAAGTTAGCACTCCCATCTCTCCAAGTCTACTTCAAAAGATGAATTTGAACCTTAATTCTACCCACTTTTCCTTCATTTCTTATGTAACAACTCATTAGACTTGAAAACATTTCTCACTTTAATTAAGTTAGAGTAGTTCACCAATAAAAAAACCAACATAATCAGTACACACAGGGATTTCTCAGGTTAGAATGAAAATATTAACTGTTATAACTGGCTTGTTAACATATTTTTTGAGGTCCCTGTCAAATTGGTAAGTAGTGATTTAGCAATAAGGGAAGTCTCAGCAGCAACTCCTTACAAAATGTAATGTAATGTGACATTAAGCTAGCCTTCCTCTACTTTCTTTCTTTACTTCCCTCATCCTCAGAAAGTTTCTCTTTTTCTAGACTAGAAAACCAACTTCAAATTTGTCTCTTTACTGTACCACTTGTTACAGGCCTATGTCAATTTAAAACCCAGGAGTCCCTCACATTTAGGGACATCCCTCCCTCTCTTTTCTCCAGTGAGACAAGTGTCAACAAAGCCCCTTGCACTTACCTTGTGATTTGCAAACAGCCAGGGGAGGGTTCCATCCATGATCCTCCTGGCACTGGCTCTGGGGACTGCCTTCCAGAGTATATCCGTCTTCACACTCCAGAGTAACAACTGCCCCATATTGGTAATTTTTTGCAGATTCCAGCCCCTTCTGAATTCCATGCATATACTCTGGGAAGCTACAGTTTACCTCTGAAATCAAAGGAATCTAATTTACCAACAAAGTAGATACTGTTCTTAATGGAAAGTTTTATGAAACCAACTTAGTTCACTCTCAGTAAATAAAACCTCACTGAAATAAAATGATAACCTAGGTAGAGTCTTTCAGTGTCTTTCAATAACCTTTAGGATTATTTTGCTTTCTCGTGCTTTAGTTTCTAAACTAATAGCTGGTTAATTTTAACAACTTGTTAGAGAAATTGTAAAGGCCAAGTGGGTAAGAATTATAAATTACTGATTTATCATCATCGACTCTTACTCTCTAGTTCTTCGTACGCATACATACTTCCTCCTTTCTTCTTTCATCTCTTCAGCAGAGGGTCTTTGGATACGAACCCTGACTCTAGGACTTCCTAATGTATGACCTTGGAAAAGTTACAAATCTCTCCATTCTACTGAGACTTCATCTCTAATATAGGAATCATAATGGCACAAACTTCATATGGTTCTCAAAAAGGTTAAATGACAATGCACTCAAAATGCTGTGCACAGTATCAGACATACAGCAAAAAGTGCTCAACAAATATTACACAGTAACTCAATTCTCATGTTCCATATGCCTAATAAAAATGACATTCTGAAACGTAAAAAACATATTCATAATTCTACCATCACTAAAAGGAAATACACTGAAAAAGTTGTGCTTTTTCATTAGTATTTCGTCAGAAGCATAGTTATAACTAATCATAGTGTAATTCCAATCTATACTTTGGTTGTTTAATTTACATAAGCATTTCAACTTTCTATATGACTGCATAAGTGATCACTCATCAGATAGACTACACTCTAAGTCATTTTTCTTATTTTGTGGTATTTAGATTAATTAATGTATTAATCCAATTAAATGCATTTAATTAAATGATCTACTTGAGGCATTTATTTGGTGATTTTAAGTTGAAAGTACCTAATTGAATATATTTATTTGGTACAAATTTGATTTAAAAATTAAAAAATAGATAATGCACCTTTACAATAAGGGGCAGGATGGCTCCAGGTTCCCTCATGTGTGCAAACAAGGAGTGCATCTCCCACCATCAGGTAGCCTTGGTCACAGCTGTACAGGATTGACATTCCAGGAGAAAATCGAGCCTTATCTTCATGAGTGTGATTCCCATTGAGGATCTTAACTGGACGTTGACATCCTACAAAGGCTTAGGAGCCAATAGAAAAGGGTCTTTAATTTAGCACAGAGGAGCACACAGCCAGCATGATCTGTGGGTGATAGCCATATAGAAAGAAGGCAGGCAACAAGCCAACTAATTGGTATCTAGTAATATCCATTCCACCAAACCAAGAAACACTGTACAGAGATTTCTACTGCCTACATATGTTTTATATGATCTGAAGAAAAATGTCAAAAGTAAGATAATGGCCCAGTTGGGTGGGCTCAGTGGTTGAGCATCCACCTAGGATCCAGGAGATCAGGGTTCGATTCCTGGTCAGGGCACATGCCTGGGATTCGGCTCTCTCATCATTGATGTTCCTATCTCTCTCTCTTCCTCTCCCTTCCTCTCTCTGAAATCAATAAAGATATATTTTTTTTAAAAAAAGTAAGGTAATGAAACATCAGTGGTTGTAGCCCATAATGGTAATTTATCAGCCAAAAGTGTTATTTCATTTTTGTTTTAAATAGAAGAAAGGCTATAGTCTAAGGGTCACACATTCAAATGCTTACAGTAGCCAGGAAGTGCAACCACCAGATATGACAAAGGAGAAAGAACCTGCCCTTCTGAAAGTGACAGCCAAAGCCCAAATCAGGCAACTGTTGCCTTGCAGGAAAGCAGAGGGAGCCTTCACTGAATCACAGGTTTTACATGTATCTTGGGCTGTGGATATGGGTTTCACTTAAAAAAGAGACTATTGTGTTGGCCAGAGAGAACAGTTCTGGTGAACGGAATTCAGTTCTTGGGTCATTCATTGCCAGCCTCTGTGGTAGACAGTCACCTAGTCACTGACACGAATGATAACTAAAAGGACAAGGGAGACCATTCATTGGGTCTGAGGGCCAGCTTCACACCTCGGAACCCCAAAGTTCTCTTTCTGGCTGGTATTACAGCCTTCAGTATAAAATTAACAAGCGATATTAGTGCCAACATTTGCCTGCCAAAGTGGTAGGTGCATTTTTATTATTCTAATTTCATAAAAACAGTAACTTTTGTAGACACCATCATTTTGAAAGTTAGCCATTACCCTTTCATGTACTTTTGCTCCACCCGTTTAGAAAGGAAAGGGGGGAAATAATTGGGTGAGAAGATCAGGCAGTTATCTCATAAAACAACATCATTGCCTTAACTTTTCCATGCTTTTCATTAGCCCAAATGGCAAGTGCAGATTTAAGAATCTCTTTCCTTGTTCTGAGCAACATCCCTTAGTTAACGTCTTAAAATAACTTACCCTTTTTGATACAGGTTGGTACGCCTGGAACCCATTTGTTATTGGTATGACACTTAATCAAGTTACTTCCATTCATGATGAAACCAGGGTTGCAGGCAATGTCTATGATGGCATTGTGGGGATACGATGACTGAGTTTTATTTAGCTTGTATCCATGTTTGATTTCTGGGTTAGGGCAGTGGGTCACAGGAGGCAATTTTAAGCACTGTGGGGGAAGTCCACTCCAAGATCCACGTCCTTTAGAATCACTTATGCATCGAATACTTTCCTCTCCCCGAAGAGAGAATCCTTGGTCACATTCATAAGAGACTTCAGTTCCATATAGGAAGTGTTCTGCCATCACACCCGTGTGTCTCCCATTGTAAATCATTGGTAGAGGTGGACAGCGAAGAGCTATAGAAGAGATTCAGGAAATTCTGCTTCAGCTAGTATATCAAGGTGGACAGTTGTCATTTCAGTATAAATAAAACTGTGAAACTGTGTGGGTTGCACGTAAACATAAAATTATTTAGATTTAAAAACTGCGTTGTGTGTTCTTTTAAATTTCTTTGTTATTTATTAAAACGGCTTTATTAATATGTCTAATATGAGTAATACATATTTGTTCCAAAAATTTTTTAAATACAATAAAGTAATAAGAAGAAAGAAATACAACTATATTACCATAAGCTAGAAATATGGGCAATATATATACTATATCCATATACATATATATTGCTGAAGAATAATATACGTGTGTGTGTGTGTATATATATGTATATTATCGTTAGCAATTAGAAGATATATGCCAAATAGTTCCTACTTGACAACTCTGCTTGGCAGTGACGGTGCTGACCAAACTGTGAAAGGTGTTTCTTAGGCTCGCTGAAATAGGATACAGAGACTAGAGGTAGTTACAGACTACTTCTTAGGCAGCCTGCCCTCTCTAACCCCTACTAGCCCACTTACAACTTTAATTTTCTATCTGACCTTCACAGACTGGAATCTTTTGGAACCAAACTTCATTTTCAGCACCTTCACACTTGTGATAAGTGTACCCAGTCAGCTGGTACCTGGAGAGAGATTATAATACATTTCTACTTCCCAGTATCACATCTCTGAAACCTCGCCTCCTCACACCACAAATACAGAGGAAATCCTACATAAGAACTTCTGTAGAAAGAGATTAAAACCTTGACCCTCCAAGTAAGAAAACTCCTTCAGGTTAGAGTTGCTCACAGCAAACCTATTTCCTTGTCAAGAAAGAACTAACAAGTCAGAGATGCCACTTAGACCTTTGGACCCTGATATTGTCTGTGAGTGTGGCAGCGAGGAACCTCTAAAGAGAGTCACCAGGACAAGCTGAGGGTAGATCTCATGCACAAAACAAAGCGGACGCCCTCTCTGAATGGGTCCTCTCACACTCACCCGTCTTGACAGGATTTATTAACCGGAGTCACGTGCGCATCGGCTGGAAGCCCCTGGACGCCTTCTCCCACAGGCCGACACGGTGCTTCTGGAGGAGCAAAGCTGGAATTACTGAGACATGCCTGACACCAAAGAGAAAGGCAACTCTGGAACTGAAAGTACCTTCACACCGAGGGGCAGAAGGACTCCAATTTCCTGAAGGCATACAGTGGATGGATTTGTTCCCCACCAGCAAGTAGCCGGGGTCACAGGTGTAGTCTACAGTCATCCCAGGGACAAAGAGGACCCTGCTTCCACCTGTATGCCGGCCGTGGTGGAGCCTAGACGGGGGCTGGCACTCTGAAGAGAAAACTTCCCACATAAATACCAACAAGAGAGGAATTTCTGCTCGAGAACATTAGGTGCACAAAACTTGACAACAGACAACCTTACATTTTTCAGCCAAAGATCATAAAGCTCCAGTTCATTACTGCACGCCTTCTGATCTTTTGAAAAAACCAGACATCTTTAAACAGGTCCTCTCATTATATACTTGAATATATTCTGGATACAAGAGGCATTGACACAATAAACATATACAACACACGTAGAACATAGTTACAGGTGAAAGAAATGAGATAGTATTCTGTGCCCCGTTGACTTTTTCCCTGCCTCTAGTTTTGGATGGGAGGTAAGAATGAATAAATAAATACCTTATTTTTTTCCCCATTGGCTTTTTACCTTTTTCACAAGCCGGTTTTTCAGGATCCCAGGTGTTATTGGCTTTGCAACGAATCTGACTGCTGCCCTTCAAAGTAAATCCATTGTCACACTTGAATGTCACACTGTCGTTGTAGAAATACGGGGCTTCCTTGCCCGATATCTTGAATCCATTTGCGATGTGGGGAAGTGAGCACTGAACAGCAGGGAGGGAAAGTTTACAGAGGGGAGCAGAGCCGCTCCAGACGCCCTTCTCTTCATGGTTGCTTATACAACGGATGGTGCTCTCCCCAATGAGGTTGAATTTGACTCCTTCCTCTGGCCCAGGGTTACATGTATAAGTGACGGTGGTCCCATATGTGAAGTCTTCTGAGGAACCCCCTGTGTGTTTCCCATTGTAGATATCAGGGGGCTTTGGGCAGGTGATTTCTGGAGAGATGAGAAGTGACTGTATAATTCTGTTTCAGGATTAGCCACCAAAGTAGAGACAGGAAGCTGGTTATGAGCCTGCTGTTATCACATTTCCTGGAGAATATGGGCAAGTTTTGATGATATCAAAACCCATTTTGTATGTAAACTCCAATTTAAACAGGCTTCATAAGAAAGATTTTTGTAATGGAAATCTTTGTTTAAAGTGAACATGTGCATCAATATCATATTGTAAGGCAGTAAAGACCAGTAGTAAATTATTAATTAAAATGAGAATTCTTTTTAAGTAAACAATAGGCAAGTACAAGGCACAGGGGCATAGAATTAAGCTATTTTTGAGTGCCAACCTTGTGCTGAGGTTATGTGATAGGTTAGCCAAAAATATTTATTGCTGATTGAATATCTACCTTTTCACAAGCAATTTTCTCATTTACAAAGTAGTGATAGTAATAGTTTTTTAAACTTTACCTTTGTTGTTGAAAGTTGTACAGATGTCCCCTTTTCCCCCCATTGATCCCCTCCACCTGCATCCACCCCACCCCCAGGCCTTCCCCGCTTAATTATAATAACTTTGAAGTCTGTGGTCTCATGCTGACTTTATAGATGAGGGATAGAGTTTCAGAGAAGTTACGTAAATTGCCCAAGATCATACGAAGCAGAAGATACAGAACATGAGCTCAGATCCCACACCCACCTCCCTTTTCTCCACAAATCTACAGTGTACCCCAAATTATGCATTGTGGCTCGTATACTCACTGCTTTCATCATCTTATACACCTAAATAAGAAAAGAGGATCAGTCACTGAATACATTTAAATTAAGTGGCAGCTATGCTTTGGAGCAGATAGCGGTGACAGTAGAAAGCAAAACTGTTGACAAACTTAATGGAACAGAGTCTCATGTTCTTACTCCTACAACATAGCCCGACGCAGAAATCTCCCAGGACACGCATAGGTCTCACATTAGTTCAGATTGTTTGCTATTTTTGCTACTCACCGTCACAAAGACGAATCTCTATAAACCAAGGAGTGGTGCCTCGACATTGTTGATAAACACTGCTACCTAGCCGGAACCTAGAGACAGAGTCATGTCATTTTGCCATCTAGTGACCACCAAGGCGAGCAAGAGCCTTTGGCTCAACAGCAGACTCACCACTTTCAGGACAAGAAGCAATAGGAACAGATTGCAGCCAGCATCAGCTCCATCACCCAGTGCACAGGCATAGTTCCCACGCACGGACAGACAGCAGGCCCAGGACCCAGGGACACGGACAGGGAAGGGTCTTTGAGGTAAACTCGTACACAGAGCTTGCAGGGTGCACTGATAGGCAGACCTAGTTCAGGCTGAGCCAGCACTCACTCACCCTTCATCGCAAGAAGAGTTAACATCTGGTCTAATAACCTGATTTCGGGGTATTTTATAGAGATGTGTTCCTACATGTTCACATTCTGCGACTAAAAAGAAAAAAAGAGAGACTAAGATGAGAAATGCGCTCAAGGCAATCTCAAAACCACAAAACATCTGGATACACAAAACCTGGCACCTTTGCATTTGGGGACGGAGGGTGTCCACATCCCATCAGAGGTACAATGTATGGATTCCGCGCCCACCAGCACATAGCCAAGGTCACAGCTGTATTTTATGGATGTTCCAGGCTCATAGCGGGTCCCGCGTCTCTCTTCCTTTTGTCCGTTGGGGATTTTAGGGGGAGCTTGGCAATCTAACGAAAAAGAAGAATCATTTTCTTATGTAATCAACAGGCATAGGAAGAAACAGCTGAAGAAATTGGCATTAACGCTAAAACTCCCCTCTGGTGGCAGTTGTATGGTACAGAGGTATTTTGCAGCCCAGCTGGGGGTTCTCGGTCTTGTCTTTTCTGCACTTAGGCTGCTGCAGAGTTTGCTCAGTTCCCACTCGGTGTTCTACCTCCTCTCGTCTCTTCCTTTCTGAAGGGATCACCTTGTATGCTTCCAATGGGAGATTCTAATACATCCATGGGGCGGGCCTTTGCTGACTTCCCTTTTAAGTTTCAGTATTAGTACAATCAAGCATTTTTTCCCTAAAGAAATGGGCAACTTAGTGGCCCCTAACGTTATTTTCCCCAGAGAATACTTCCACAAAATNCTGTATGGTACAGAGGTGTTTTGCAGCCCAGCTGGGGGTAATTTTAGGTCAGTGGTTCTCGGTCTTGTCTTTTCTGCACTTAGGCTGCTGCAGAGTTTGCTCAGTTCCCACTCGGTGTTCTACCTCCTCTCGTCTCTTCCTTTCTGAAGGGATCACCTTGTATGCTTCCAATGGGAGATTCTAATACATCCATGGGGCGGGCCTTTGCTGACTTCCCTTTTAAGTTTCAGTATTAGTACAATCAAGCATTTTTTCCCTAAAGAAATGGGCAACTTAGTGGCCCCTAACGTTATTTTCCCCAGAGAATACTTCCACAAAATAAACAAACTGTGGGGCTTGGGTTAAAAAGTGTTCTGCATAATTATAAACACTATACATATAGAAGAGTCGAGGGGGCTCCAAACTGGAAGGGACCTGCTTATGTACAAAACCCCTACCTATCGTTCTTGGAAAAATGAATCAGTGCAATCTTTTCTTGGTATGGGGACACCCACCCTTTTCACAGACTGGTGCCGATGGCTCCCATGTGCCTCGGGCACTACATCGCATTTTCCTGGGGCCTTTCAAGGTGAAGCCAATCGAGCAAGCAACTACCACAGTGTCATTATAGGAATATTGATCCTTCTGCCCAGACAATATTTGGCCTCTTAGGATCTGGGGCGGTGCACACTGAATCCCAGAAACAGCAAGTTCGCAGCGTGGGGCAGCTTGGGGACTCCAGACCCCAGCCTTCTGACTATCGGAGGTACAACGGAGAACTCTCTCCCCAGTCAGGATGAAGTCCACTCCTGGCTCTGGGCCTGGGTCGCACGTGTAAGTGACTGTGCTTCGATACGGAAAGTTCGCTGCAGGGCTGCCTGTATGTGTTCCATTGGGAATAGACGGAGGTGGTGGGCAAAGGATGCCTAGAGAAATTACAGAGAAATGACAAGCTGACAGTGTACTGCAGACAAAGAAAGCCTCGGGCTTGATACCACTCCCACCTCCTATGTTCAGGGACCTGGGATATTTGACTCGTTAATGAATCAATCAGGGCAGCTGTAATAATATAATTCAAACAGTATGATTTATTCTGGAATATATCTAATTCTGCTGATGCTTGAATTTCTGTTACTGCATAGGCCATCTCCTTTATGTGCACGGCCTGGCTTAAAAGTCTACTTAGCTGTTAGAGAAAGGGGAGCCTAGGAACTCTGTTTTACTTGAATACGCAGAGACTAGAGAGGTAACTGAAGGATGCTTCAGGCATAACCCTTAAAGATGTCTAGGAGAGATATTTGCTCTATAAGGTTCTGTAGAGTAACGACTCGATCAAGAGCTTCTGTCAAAAGAATTCAGTGTCCTGCTGAGCCTCGGGCAGTGAACTAGTTGCACACCACAGCTTGTGTAACCTACCTTCACATACAGGTATCTTGGTCCATAGAGCTCTCTGTCCAGCAATTACGCACTGACTAGAAGGTTGGCCTCGTAAGCGATACCTGGAGACAGGGAGTGGTCACTCAGAACTATTAAGCAGCTGGTAATATGGATCAATGACCTCTACTGGAAGTCCAAGACAAATTATTTAATTTGTGTGCATTGGCTCTTATTAGCATTCCCTCTCACAACCTCACCCTCGGCTCCCCACAGATCCCCACAGAAGAGCCTTCACAGGTCACACCACGCACAGAGAGGCCCAATGAATTAAATCTCATAGGTCCTCCAGACACTCACCCTTCGTTACAGGAAAAGTTCACAGTTGCGCCGACCTGACGACTTGGAGGCCCCTTTATCTGCCCATTGAGAAGTGGTCCTGGGGGTCCACACTGTGCCTCTAAGGAAACAAGCCGAAGATGTGTAAAGCGTGGCAAATAACAGAATAGGCCAATTTCTGAAACTGACTGGAAATTAGGCTACCTTCACATTTTGGAATGACAGCACTCCAGTTTCCTGATGACAAACAACGGATAGTCCTTTCTCCAACAAGCAAATAACCAGGTTCACAGCTGTAAGTCACAGAGAATCCAGGGACAAAGGGGCCAACATCCTGTCCTGTGTGATGTCCATTGGGGATCATGGGAAGTGGTGGACAGTCCAGGGGGAAATCTTTACACACGCACATTAGGAAAAAAGGCCATCAGATAATGCATCCTTCACAATCTAGATTTTGACATAGTGCATAGATCCAAATAAATGACTCCATGATCTGTGGTAACCAGTCCTCATGAATTTTCAACTCCATCTTTTAAAGATCAAACAAGTGTGATTTGATCAAATCCATTTTATACCATAAATAGCTCATTATTTTCCAGTTTTAGTTACACTTTATGATTTACTTTGTGAAAAATTTCAGTTACCAAAAAATAGTTCATTTTTACACATACTTTTATCCTGCCTTTAAACTTATTCTCAGCTCCAAAAGTAGCATATTATTAGGGTTTATCCTGCTGGATATTAGTAATATAGTTTGATGGGATCCTATATGTGTCACATATACATGCATATTGGGTGAGTATATATGTACTCACAACTTATTCTATGCCTTTCTTTCTTTGCTTAATAATCTGTTTATGATATCTTTCCATGTCAATACATATAGGTTTACCTAAATCTTTATATAGGTACAATAATTTTCTATAGTCTCCTCATTTTGTGACTATCATAGATCTTCCTTGCCTCCAAGATTATGTATCTTTCTATAGATACATAGATAGAATCATAGTTTTCTAATCAGGGTCTTTTCAGCTCATTAACTGATTTATAATTGCTTGATATTTTTCTTCACCAAGAAAATAAGTAGCTACTTTTGATGGTAAAATATTTGTCAAATATGCTATTCCCTGTAATTGTACGATTGAAATTCAGATTTAGATTTCAGCAACATCATAAGCCTAACTAAATAAAAATAAATGAAGACCTTAGGCTAATAGTAAGCAATCCTTACTATTAAAGCCATTTGATTTGAAATGTTATCTGAGATGACTTGGGAACATAGTGCATCACTTCAGAAAATGTTTATAGACACCTCACAGAACAGAGGATATCATTTCTGCCAGGCTTCATTAACAACTATTTACAGGTGCGTTTTATATCCATTGGGTATATTTTTGCTAACAGACCTCACATTTCTTCTCAGTTTAACACTAACTCAGATACACAGTTTAAAACCCCACAGTTCACGCAGCACCAACAAACTCTCGCCCCCAATCTTGTGAGACTTATTCAATTCAATTATGAGCTACGTTCAATTACTTTTTCTCCCCATACTTTAAACTTTTTCGTTCTATTGATGTTTGTTAATTGAACATTCATATCCTTCACAACAAAAAAATACAATAAAACAGGAAAGCATAATTTTCGCCCTTCGCCCTGCTTGCCCCCTGGGCCCCACCCTCACACATCCACACTGCTCTGAGTTCAGGGTGACACAAAACCCGAGCCGCACAGAACTGCGGGGTCCACCCCCCCAGCCCAGTTTCATTTTCTCTCTTACTCACCGCTCTCGCAGGTGGGGAGCGGTGTCGGCCCCCACGTTTTATTTGCTTGGCACCAAACAGACTTGTTTCCTTTCATGGTGAAGTTGGCGTTACAGGTAAATGTCACAGAATCACCGTGTCTGTACGGTGGTCTCGATGTTTTATCTTTGTGTCCCCCTGGCACTATGGGCTCAGGGCAAACAGAATTTCTGTTGAAATATTCACAGGTAGGAGCAGCTTTATCCCAGATTCCTTTCTCTTGGTCTTTAGGTATACAAAAAAGAGTCTTTTCTCCAATGATGCGGAAGTTATGGAAACAAGAGTACCTCACCACAGTGTTGAGAGGTATAGGGCCAGAAAAATAACTGTTCCGACCATTTTGGATACTAGGAGGAGGGTCACAAAGAATCCCTGAAAATTAGAAAGGGAAATATGTGGTGTTATTGATTATGACAACAAAATCATTCCAATTTAGATTAAAAGTTCAAATATATGCTATGTCATTTTGTCAGAAACAAGCTTAGAATTTTGTATAATTGATTTCTTACTCATAGTCCCTACTTATCCCCAAGCTCCTAAAGTCTTACCTTTCTCTTGATCCTCAGCAAACAAATCAATATAGGAATTATAAGCACTGTCTTGACCAAACAACGACAAGGAAACAGAATTTATTAAATATTTCTGAGTCTAATCCATTTTAATAAAACAAAAGGCAAACAGCACATGTAAAGAATATGTTAGTGACATGCAAATCACATGTGGGGAGGCACTGTGGACTAATGAAATCTGGGCTCAGTAGACCTGGTTTCAAATCCCCACTATCATTCAATAGCTGTGTGACCTTAGGCAAGTCTTACCCTCTCTAAGCCTCAGTTTCTTAGTCCATCATCAAAATCATGCTACTTCATAAGGTTATAATGGGAACCCAGAGAGACAAAAGGACCTGAAAGGGGCAAGTACAACACCTGGAACATACAAATTATTTGATACCTGTTTCAAACACACAACTGGGGCTACAAGTGGTGAAAGTACATTCCATCCCTCTACTAAAGGGACTGCAGCCTCACTACAGTCATTTGTCATCCTTTGATGCTGCACCCCTTTGAAAAAGCCACAGGAAGTGATCAGGGGTTTGGAATAATGACCTCATATCCTTTATGCACTTGTCATATTGTTAATTATTTATAGCTGTGTTGGTACATGCACACCTTTCCCAAGTGAGTCTCAGAACAAAGGGAAAAGAGCCAACCTCCAGAACTGCTGGTTAATTTCCAGTTAGCTCCAGGATGCTCATGAGCAGAGAAACTGGGAGAAGAACACAAGGCCAAACCATTTCAGCACAGCAGTGCTACTCAGATGCAGTGGGGGTAGCTTCCCAGAGCCTTTATCTCGATATAAATAGAATACTCAAGACAAGATGTAGTCAACTGAATACATTTCATTTTGCCTGCATGCTAGAACATACAGAAGGCTGGCACATGCATGTTCAAAGCACTCATCCAGATAAGATGTGATAGCTGAGAAATACATGAGAATACACCAAAAACCAAGAAGCAAGATTCATACTTATTTTTGCTTCTACTCACGTTCACAGACAGGAAACTTATTATTCCAGAGTACTCTCATTCCTTCTGAGACACACTGACTAGAAGATTTGCCATTTAACCGGTACCTTAAACAATAAGGGGAGAAATCACCACCAGAGCAAACCAATTCTCAGATGCATGGATTTAATCACTTCTCTCAAGTAAGTGGTGTTAATGAGCTCTATTCTTTTTGGCATTTTAGGCTTAAGGAAAATGTCCAAGGTTGTTTGTGGATCCGTTCAGCTATATGACGGCTTCAGACCAGGTAAAAACACAGAAAAAGTCATAATTATCACATATTTTTAAAAAATGTGATCTCTTTTCTCTTTGGCATCCAAATGTCAAGATTCTCTTGACAATTTAGAAGGTAAAAAACAAAACAAAAAAACTTAGTTTCAAGTGAAGACAATATCAAAGATCCCTAAGCTCACCCCAATAAGCCCCTCTTATTAAACCCCCATCATCTATTCATCTCCATAAGAGAAGCCTTAACTTGTGACTTCAAACTTCGCTTTTTAATTAAAAAAAAAAAAATAGGGTAATTCCTGTCCAGGTTGGCTGGCCATGCACAATACATACACTTGAAGAAAACCAATAGGATTTGGCTAATAACAGAATTTTTAGTCATAAAAGGTAAAGAAAAGGAGGGAGAAGACCAGAGAGAGGAAGAAATATTAACGGTCTTTACAGATCACATTTTGCAATGCTTGGCTATGAGTCACAGGTCTCAATTCAGGCCCTGTCACCTCACACTCACCCCTCATCACAAACAAAAGAAACCTCTGCCCCAAGCTGTAGAGTAGAAGGAGTCACCACCTGGCCATTGAGAAGTTGGTTTGGAACGGTATCACATGATTTGGCTAGGAAAAAAGAGACAAGGCTGGCACATGAAGAGTCAGGACACAGTTGAGTTTCCTTAAGATGGAATAGAATTTTAGGCACCTTCACATTTGGGGGTTGTTTGGCTCCAGGTTCCCAATGATGTACACTGTATAGCATTAGGTCCAATAAGAGTGTAGCCAGGCTCACAGCTGTAGGACACTTCCTGTCCAATTGCAAAAAATTCCTTATCCATTTTGTTATAATTACCATGGTGGATACGTTGAGGTGGTAGACACCCTGAGAAAAGAACAGGACCAGAGGCCTTTCATTTCTGACATAAGAACTTTCTTCTCTACGATCTAAGCCAACTTGGGTTTGGCAGGGGAAGGAAGAAGGTGGTCACGTGAACTCTCCTAATGTAAAGCAGGGACTCCTTTGGTGAGGTGGAGTGTGTAACACGCATTACTGTTTTTAGACACGGTGAACCATGCAACCATCTGCTTTGTGTCTCTTGATTGTACCAGAAAACTGTACATCCACTCATCATTCTCCACGTCATTTAACTAAAATGATCTTGGTTATCCTCTCACTAACATTATAGTCAAGGGAATCAAACTTTGGAATTACAAGATCACCACCAACATCTACCACATTTTCCCTGCTCCCCAAGCCAGGTTGATGGAGGTTCTGAGCCTTGAAGGAAAGGCTCCAAATGTTGCCTGGTTTTTCTAAGTCAGACATTTCTCAATAAGAGGAGGGGGAAAGGCAGCATGAGGGAAGAGACTCAATCTTAATTCAAGCCTCATTGCATAAATGCTGCATTTGTCAGTATCAGAATATGTAATATGTACAGTCTTTTGAATAGAATTCTGACATTAGGAAATTTCCCCCAAATGCATGGCCAATAAGACTGAGAATTTATTTTTTCTTCATTTAAAGAAAATTTGATCATATATATGTTTTAGAAAAATCTCTGATCTTTGGCTCTGGTACCATCTGCTTTTTTTTTAAAGCGCTTTCTAAATTCCCCTCATTAATATAGATCTAACCCTGTTCCAGGATATAGTATATTTCCTATCTCTTCAATATTCAGATGCTTCTTTCAAAGTTCAGTTTTGAATTTTTTAACCAGGATACCCAACCAAATCTACTATCTTTCCTCTCCTCTTCTCACAGCCACCATGCATCCATTCAACCAAAACTCTCATTTCATTTATAGATCACCATATTTTCAGCCCAACTCACCCTTGAAACACCTTGGCAGTGGAGGATCCCATTTACTGTTTGGTTGGCACCATACCTCGTTGCTGCCTTTCATGGTAAAGCCAGGCTTACACTTAAACATCACAGTATCATTTAAGGAAAATGAACGTCTATATCCAGATTCCACAATTCCATTTTCAACTTCTGGAAATGGGCATTTGACTAGATTAATACACTGAGGAGCAGGGCCACTCCAGATGCCAACTTGACTGTCATTGCTGGTGCAATATATTGCCTTCTCACCCACGAGGTCATACTGCTTTTTCCCATTCCGTCCAACATGGCACTGATAAGTCACGACCATTCCATAGTAAAAATCCTCTCTACTGCTGCTATAATAGTCCCCATTGGGGATGGATGGGGGTGGCTTACAAGGAATAGCTTTTTGGGGGTTAGGTGGAAAAAGAAAGAACACATTTTAATGTTATAGCTTCTGAGAATTTTGACTTCAGTCTTGCAAACCAAACTCTAATTCAGCCTACAGCTAACGCATTTTGTTGAAATTGTGTATCCGTATCTCAGAAATGGTTATAAATAGGAAGTAGCAAGGTAGGAAGATGCATGGAACTTCCCTGATGAAACCTCAAAAAAACCTATGATCTGGTCCCAAGATCCCATCCCCAGAATACAGACAAACTGTTATAAGAGGCACCTGGGATGACTGACATGGTGCATGGAATATTCACTGTGAAATAACTTATTGTCAAAGGGGAGAAATCAAAGAAAAGTGTGGTAAGTTTGGGAGGGATAAGAAGAACATAAACAAACCACAGCTCTGTGCCCAGAACTTCCCAAATCAAGTATAAACTTTCCTGGGAAGTACTCATTTTGATAGGTAGATGCCTAATTTCCCTCTAGAAGGATACAAGAGGAATTATATAGGTGCAATAAAGGGGTCATTTTACTCACATTCACAAATAGGCATGTCTTCATCCCAGGTTACAGTATTGCCTGAGATAATACATGTGGAAGATTTGACACCAATGAGTCGGTATCTAAAGACAAAGAGATGAGTGATCATCTCCCAGCTAGATGTACATCTTAGGAAAGTTTAGTTCTTTGTCCACTGAAAGAATGGCAAAGAATGGAATATCATGTATGACAAACAGCAGGGATAGACTGAGGACTCATACAAAAGATTAAAGAATCTAAAGCCAAATAAAATTTGCCTTCTTGTCAGTAACACTGGAGTTTTAAATTGGAAGAAGAGGAGTAGCCCAAGTTCCTTTCTCTTCTAGGGACCATCTCTAGTGGGTAACCCTGAAAGATAGTCTCTACAGCAGGTCAGGTAGGTGACTCTCTTTGCTTATCTATTTTAAAGGGTAGGTGGCAATTACTCAGATCTCTCTTGGAAGACTCCTGGTTTCTGGTTGAAAAGCCCATGTACCCTGGAGATATCTCTTGCCAACTCACCCTTTATCACAAGAATATGTAATTGTTGACCCAAACATGACACCCATGGGTGTGTGGACAGAGCCATGAAGGAGTTCTCCAGGACTCATACATGATTTACCTACAGGGGAAAACAAAACAAAACAAAACGGGGTTTGGGACTGGAATTTGGGGGACATTTTGTGTTTTATATTAAATCCCAGCCTGACTGGACTTGCTGACTAGCTTATTTATGTTTATTTAAAGCACTCTTTGACATTTACTAAACTTTTATCTTCCAAGGGAAGAGTCAATTCCAGAACAGTATTTGTTTCAAGCATGTCGTCTGTATTTTTTCAGTGGGCATGCAAACATCATTTGTGGTCAACCATAATTATAACCTATCTTTCCCCTTTTTATATTCGGTCAGGTGATGGCATCATCTACCAAGTCTTGTGGCTTAAAAAGAAAAAACTTACAGTCATCATTTCCTTTCTGTAACTCATTTCTTTATTCCCTGCCCTTTATTCAGTTGGTCACCAAATTTTAGTGACTGAATTCCAAACATCTCCAAATCAACCATTATCACTGCTGTAATTTCTCACTGGATCACTGAGTAACAAAATTTACCTTTCTAACTCTGGTCTCCATCTTCTAGGCACACCTACCACTGCACACATTTTCTTTTAGAAGCACAAATGTGGTCATACCACTACCTACATTTAAAAACTTATAATGACTTACCATTGTTGGTTGGAAAAATGTTCATGTCCTGTCAGTTAAGCTCCAATCCACTTAATCAACTGCTATTCCCCACCATGTCCCTCATACTCCAACTGCACTGAATTTGCCTATTTTCTAAAGACCTCATGTTCTTTCATACCTTCATGGTTTTGCATATGCTGTTTCCTCTGCCTGTAATGCCTACATTTCCCTAATTCTTCTAGATAGCATTTATTATTTACTACTTTATGATCTCATAGAAATTACCTCTGAATAAATGAAATTACATCATAGTACAGTATTTGTTTAAAGTCAGGCTTTACAATGAGTATAGGAATTCTTCACAGGAAGGGACCAGTAGACTTTATAGTTCTCTCCAGCGCCATCATATAGCCTATAGCTTCATACCTAGTTGTTACTCAAAAATGTCTCTTGAATTAAATGGGGTGAGAATGAAGTGAAACTAATATTCCTTGCATACTAACTTCTAACCTCGCTCTAACACAATTCAGAGAGCATGGAGCAAGTTCATGGAGATTCCAGGTAAATAGGGCTGGCAGCTCTGATGATTTAACCTCAATTCTCAATGCCCTTAGGAGTAAATGAGATGGTCTTTTATCATGAAAAATAGCAGGTTAGCTCACAGAGATTCACTAATAGACCCAAAGATACCTCTATTACAGATTACTCACGTTTACAGTATTGCTGAGCATCTGACCACTTGGAAGTCTCTAGACAGGTGGTGAGGAATGACCTTTTGATATACCCAGGAAGGCATTCATATTCCCAAGATGTCCCAACAGCAAACTCAGACTGATCACTGTGAACTTTAGGCTTAGCAAAATGATACCTTGGCAGGGACTTACACTGACCTAGAGACAAAGACCACAGGAATATCAAAAGTAAGAGAGACTAAAACTTCTACTCTGCTTCTGTTTTATCACCAATTACACTGACAACTTAAATCTTTAGAAAGTAAACCTAAAATGGGACAATAATTTCTGGGACAAAAAGCATATCTTGCAGTAGGGGTGCATATACAGAGAAGTAAGCTCAGAAGTTCAAAGACATTTTAGGATAGATTTTAGAAATTTTAGCAAGAGATGGAAAAAAATCATTTTTCATAAAATTCCATGAAGACCATGCAGTAGTTTCATCTTCTTACAACCTCATAAATAAAAACGAAAACCTGATAAACAGTTTTCCGGGATAGTACAGGAAACTAAACCACATCAGAGACCTTATAAGCTCAGCACATGTATGATTCTCTAAAATTACTTTAATGAATTCACATTACTATCTTAGTCATTAAATCTTTAGGTCCTAGCAATAAAAAATGTTTATTTGTTATTCTTTATTATTGTATTCCATTAGCCTAGTGGAGTAATAGGCCCTCTAAGAGAGCTTAGTCGTTTCTTCCTGATACGTACGAGATAAAAGGAACGAGTTATTTCAAGTCAGTTCCCTGTGAGTTAAAAATAAAAATAATATTGATAATGAAACAGATTTTATCCTAGGTGAACAGATAAGAATCTATAATACCCACACACTTGAGGATATGCCTGGAAAAGTTTTAGCTCCGGAATGGTGGTATATTGGAATATGAAATTTATAAATTTTTTTTTCAGATGAGTCTGAGACTGGTACAGGTGAAAGTCAAAGAAAAATTATGGACTAATTATGGACAAAGGCAAACAGAACTCCCAAGGTTGCAGCCAGACCCAGTCTTTTTACAGCTCACTACTTCTGTTGGAGAAGTCATGTAGACTGGATTAAGAATAGCCATCATTGCTGGGATCCAGATCTCCCTGTAGGTCTCCTGTTTCTTTCCTGAACTCCTTTAGCTTCCTTCATTAACAACTACCATTGTCTCCAAGCGCATGCCTGCGCAAAGAGCAAGACTGTAGGGGAAGACAGGGCTTGACTAACTTCACGGCCAATGTGAACAAGGACAGTACAGAGTAACTTGCCACAAGCTGGAAAACAGAAAACCAATTTAAGTCCACAAGATTTTTTGCTTTGTTTTGTTTTTGTTAGACCTCACCCAGGGATACTTTTTCCACTGTTTTTTGTTTTTTTTGTTTTTGTTTTTGTTTTTAGAGAGAGTGTAAGGAAGGGAGAGAGGGAGAGGGGGAGAGACAAGGAGAAACATCGAGGTCAGAGAGACAATCTATTTGTTCCCTCCCACAATGCTTCCTGGCTGGGGCTGGGGATTGAACCTGCAACCCAGGTATGTGCCCTTGATTGGGAATCGAACCTATGACCCTTAGGTCCATGGGCCAACACTCTAACCACTGGGCCACACTGGCCAGGGCATAAGTCCACAAGATTTAATCTGCAGCAACAATATGGAGTTAAGATAAAACCAAGATTTTTGAAGGAGCAAAAGCAGGAAGGTACTTTATATTATGACCTTCTGAAGTGAAAAGAGATAAGAATCACACTTTCCAGATGGAAAATAATGGGGAATTCTTAGCCCAATAAGGACACTTGGGGACTCTTTCTCTTTTGGCAGACACTGGCTCTTATTAGTCATGAAATTTCCAAAATCCCAGGTCAAAGACAGAAATTCCAGCAATCATGTTCTGTTCCATATCAGAAAAGGAAAGGTTAGTCTTTGAATCATTAAGTAATACAAATTTTCTTAATCCCACAGACATCTTCCTAAAATCCAGAATAAAAATCAGAGTAGATCATGACTGAATCCAAAATAGGAGATAGTGGCAAGACATTGGCATATACATCCCTTAAGCCATGGTAAAAACTAACTAGGCAAAGCAGTTTCTAGAGAACAGAGATACATTTAACTTATTTGGATCCAAGGGGCTTTACCTAGAATGGCTTAGAAATCCATTTGAAATTAACGAAGAACAGCTATAAATGATAATAAAAATAAAAACAAAAATCAAGTCAGAAAGCAGGTAGGAGAAATTATTACTGATAAGTATTATAACCAAATGCCTTAGCACTGGGTTTCCTGGCTATTTTGAATGATAGTTGTGAGTATTAACCAAGGCACTATCCTAAGCACAAGAGATACATCAGTGAACATCTGAGACAAGGTTCCCACCTTCACAAAATTTATATTCCAATAGAGGGAGGCAGATCATAAATAAGTACCAATAAATAAATAGGAAATAAACAGAGTGATGTGCGTGCCAAATGTAATGCACCAGAAAGGCAGGCGGACAAGGCGGCATGCCACTTCTGCCACAATGCTTAAGGAAGACCTATAAAGAAGAAACACTGAGTTGTTACTGAAGGTTAAGAAGGAACCAGCCAGGCTAAGTGCCAGATAAAAGCATTTTACACAGAGGCCTAACATCAGGGGTGGATGTGCTACACTTTAGGGACAGAAAAAGGCAAGTGTGGCTGGAATGCAGCGATCGAAACAGAGTGGCATGAGATCAAGTTAGAAGGCTCAGTAAGGATGGATCACAAAGGGCTCCTCAGGCCACAGTAAGATGTCTGGAAATCACTGGAGAGTTAACACAGGAGAGTCACATGGCCTGATTTACCTTTTTAAAGGAATAGCCAGGCAATTGGGTAGACTATAGACTGGACTTTTACTTTCAGGGGCAGGAAGTGCAGTCTGGAGGCTATTATAGGAGTTCAGACAGAAAACGGATGCATGGGCCATAGGGAGATAGTGAGAAGTGGGTGAAATTTGGAATATATTTTAAAAATAGAATTGCCAAGACTTTTTTTACATTAGATGTGGAGCTAAGAAAATAAGAGGATTTAGTAAAAACTTCCAGCTTTTTGACTTGAGCTACTGGGTTGAAGGTAATACCATATACTAAGATGGGAAAGAGCCAATTTTTTGCTTTTTAGAGTGTGTGAGAGTGTGTGTGTGTGAGTGTGTGTGTGAGTATGTGTGTGTGTGTTAGGGTGTTGTAGGGACAGAATTGATTGCCCTTTAGACATGGTATATTTAACACACTTACTAGGTCTCCAAATGGAGTTGCCAGGTAGGCAGTTGGATGTACAAATTTGCCACTCAGGAGATAGGTCAGGACCACAGATAACAAATGAGTTATTAAAATATAAATAGTATTTAAAGCCAAGAGGCTAGATGAGATCTCTTAGGAAGCAAAGTTATAGAGAAAAAGTGAAGAGGTCCAACACTGAGCCCTCAAGCCCTCTGCTGTTTAGAGACAGGGCAAAAGGAGTAAGAGCAACCAGAGAGATACAGAGAAGGTAGGTAAGAGGGCCTTGTTTGGGAAATGAGAATGGAGCTGTTTCAAGAAGCTGGAAATATTCAGCTTTTGATGAAAGACAAAGAGAAAGGGAAAGAAAAATGACCACTGAACTTGCCAGAGCGAAGGTCAGTAGTGACCTTGCTGAGAGCAGCTTTAGGAGAATGGTGGAGAAGGAAGCCTGTCGGGGTGGGTTAAGGAGACAAAGGCATGTGAGCAAGAAGTCAGTGAGTTTTGTTGAGAACGATGAGAAGAGGGGCAGAAAAATGCAGCTCCATTGGGCCAAGAGGAGTCTCCTCTCCCAAATAAAGGAAGTCCTAGGGCATGTTTAACTGCTGGTGGGGATGAGTCAACAAGAGATATAAGTGCAATGATGTAAATCAGGAGACTTCTGCAGAAGTAAAGTCCTTCCAAAGGCAAGATGGGACTGAATGTGATCATGAATATGGGAAGAGGAGTTGATTTTGTCAGCAGAAAGAGTACCTTCTCTATTGTTCCGGAAGGCAAAGGACATTCTTATCGAACTCCTAGTTACAGGCTGGTTCAAGAATTCATCGGGCAACGACACAGATAAAGGTCTTGCTCCATTGGGACTTGTATTCCAGGGAGGGAACAAACCCAAACAAGTAAATAAACAAACAAGAATGTTTCATAGGATGATAGATGCTCTTTGGGAAGCAGAACACAGTTATGTGATACAGAGTGACCTGGAGGATGAGTGCTTCAGGTAAGAGTCAGGGAGAGTAAAGGTGAAGCTGAGGCCTGAATGCCCAGAAGGAGACAGTCAAGGTGATCTGTAGGAAGAGCATTTCAATAGGGGGGACACCTAGTGCAAAGGCTAAACAAA